CGCTACGAGGAGGACCTATGGAAGGATTTGCCAATATCAGTGGAAAACAGGTGGCAGTTACTAATGATGATGAGTCTGTACCTTGGGCCTGGATTTGCCACACCTTTCTTTATAGTAAGACACCAGTCTCTTAAGAAATAAGGATGTTTTAGGAAATTCATGAAACAGATACGAAGAGGAGCATTTGAAGAGGTGCAATCTCTTTGAAAATGTATCAAACTCTTAAATTCAACATACTAACTGCGTCTGTAAATAACCTTATGGCAGGAATCCTTCAAAAAAAAAAGAAAGAAAAAGGCAGCTTACAACACTGTATGCGCCAAGTGCCCTTTGACAGAGGAATAAACAAAATGTGGTATTCAATGGAATGTTATTCAGCCTTAAAGAGGAAAGAAACTCTGATATTTGCTACCATGTGGATGAACCTCAAAGACACTGGGTGAGCGAAATACGCCAGTCACTAAAGGACAAATGCCATATGGTCCTATCTGTATGAGATACTTGGAGTAATCAAATTAATAGGAATAAAAAAATAGGATGGTGGTTGCCAGGGCTGGGGGGAAGGGGAAATGAAGAGCTGTTTCACAGCCACAGAGTTTCAGTTGTGGAAGATGAGAAAGTTCTGGAGATGGACGGTGGTGGTGGTGGTGGCTGCACAGCAATGTGAACATGCTTAATGCCACCCGGCTACACTTGAAAGTGGTTAGAATGATAAATTTAAGTTATATATATTTCACTATAATAAAAAGTAGCTATATGTATAATATGATTACCTTTGTGTGTGTGTGTGTGTGTGTGTATGACAGAGAGAGAATGTACAGGAAAAAAATCTGGTAGGATTTATATTAGCATGTCTACAGTTGTCTTTTGATGTTCAAGTTATAGATGATCTTTATTTTATTTCTTATACTCCATATTGTTCTATATTTTAGGGTTTTAAATTTTACACATGTAATCAGAAAAAAATAAGCCCAATTTAAAAAGAAAGGGATTCCATGTTCTGTCAAGAAGCAGCCATTGTGATTGATTAAAGAGACCTGACATAGTCAAATGAACACATTAAAAGGATATTATTCTGCAATAAAAGTGACTCATTCAGTAGCCAATAGAAATCAATAAGTGAGATGGGCCAGCTTTAGATCTTTACGTTGACATATTCATGTCCACTTTACAATCCATCATCTGAAACTACCCCCATTGTCTGCTTGTTCGCTTTAGAACCACCATCCCTAGTCCATTTCTAAATGTCTTAAAAAAGATCAATTCCTTGACCTTCTCCAGACTTACTCCAACTGCACATTATGCCCCATGGGACCCTGAACACCCTTCTTCACGTGCTGTGGCTTTTTCTTGGCCCCCAGCATGGCCTTAGGATTCCAGCCATCCTTCAGCCCTGGTGTCCAAAAAGCTTCTCTCCATTTGTGTGCAGCATCCCCCAGAAGTTCAGGCCTTGTGTTCTTTGTGAGCCCCAACCTTGCTAGATGTGCTTTTTCCGGCTCCTGAAGCTCGGTGGTATGGAAGTCACTCCTTACTGGTGGACTTTTGGCTTTCTGACCCTGTAGGGCTTAGAATTAAGTCTTGCAGAGACTTAAGGTCTTTCCTACTGCTGGTAAGTACAACCTTTCAGAAAAGCCGTTAAGCAATATGAAAGAAGGTCCTGAAACTGTTCATAGCCTCTAGACTGACCTTATGTTGTATTTCCAGGACTCTACCTTGAGAAAATATTCTAAATGGATGGACAAGGATTTATGCAGAAATATTTATCACATAATAATTTAAATTAGCAAAAAACAGCAGAAGCAACTCAGACATCCAAGAGCAGAGGATTAATCAGGCAAATTACGGAATATGCATGTTATGGATAATTATGTAGCCACCAATGTTTTTAAAGTTATTATAAATACCATAGAAAAATATTCTTGATTAGAATTATGTATTTGGTGTGTTTTCAAATGAGATTTAGAAAAAAAAGGAATAGAACAAAAACAGGAAAGAAATATGTCAAAATATTGATAATTTACTTCTGGGTAGTGAGATTATAGGTATTCCTTCCTCCCCATTTGTCTTTATACTTCTTCTGTTTTTCAGGGGTTCCATATGAGTACAAATGAGTTTTACAATGTGAAGGAAAAAACCACAATAGCTTTCCACACACAGAAGATGAAATAATTAAATTACACTTGAGTTGGTATCCTAATGTGACACTGTGATTTATAAGAAGAAATATGTATTTGGTCTTTGTCCCTGATGTTGGCTTTGAGCTCCTAAAATCACTGTAATTGCCTAGTATGAGAGTGATAAGGATGTTGTGTGTCACGCTGGGGACTTTTGGAAAGTGCCAAAGGCTGGGGTGGGAGGGGGTGGGGAGGGCTGGCTGCCCTGGAGCCAGTCTTGTGATTAGAGAGTTGGAATTCTCAGTTCCACTCCCTAGCCTCTGGGAGATGAGAGGAGAGGGACTAGAGACTGAGTTCTATCGCCAGTGGCCAATGACTTAACCCATAAAGCCTATGTCATAAAGCCTCCATAAAAACCCCAAAGCAGAAGATTGAGAGAGCTTCCAGGCTGGGGAACCAGGATGTTTCCACGTGCAGCTGTGCCAGGCCCCAAGCCACATGGGGACAGAAACTCCTTTGATTGGGACCTTGCCCGCCCCATGTATCTCTTCATCTGGTTGTTGATTCACATCTTTTAATATCCTTTGTAATACATCAATAATCTAGTGAGTAAAAGGGTTTCCTGCCGTTCTGTGAGTCACTCTGGCAAATCAATCGAACCCAAGGAGGGGATCGTGGAAACCTCTGTATTATAGCCAGGAGGTCAGAGGTGTAGTTAACAACCTAGGCTTGAGACCAGCGTCTGAAGCAGAGGGCACTCCTGTGGGACTGAGTCCTTTGCTTGTGGGATCTGATACTCTCACTGGGTTGACAATGTCAGAATTGAGTTGAACTGTAGGACAGCCATGTGTGGTCAGAGGATTACTTGGTGGTGGTATGGGAACCCCCCACCCCTGAACACACACGTTAGAATTTGGGTCTAGAACCTTTTACCTACTCTGAACTGCTGGGCTTCCGCGTATATCATTAAACTGGGAACCAAGAGCAAAGGCACTGGGACCCTGAGCGGGGACCCAAAACCATGGAGGAAGATGTGTTCCCTTGAGGCCTGGCCTGCACAGCGCACGGTGGTGTGAGATTTTCCTCAGCCCTGGAACAGCGGCACCGGTGGCTGGGAGGAGGCACAGCAGTGCTGGGAGGCAGCCGGCCCTCCTACCCGATTTCTGAGGATCAGCCGCTGCCCCAGGGCTCACCACCTCCAGAACGGTGTCTGTGACCATTGTGCCATCTTGCACATCACAGGCAGCCAGTCGCACTTCTCAAGCCCGTCCCTACATTAAAGTCAAATTCTCCATCACTTATGGTTGGAGGATTTTTCCCCTTTAACTCTATTCACATCACTATCGGCCCAGCATGGCCCCAGAAGTTCCAAGGCTCCCTCCCCAAGCTGTGAGTTATGACCGTCTCACCAGCCATAGGAACTTTGATCAGATTTGTGGGTCAGGGAATTGGAGCAGGAAGTAATCTGTAGGGGGTCTTCCCAGGGACAGTAATAGCCAGCCTGGGGCTCCTCCAGGTTTGGGGATGGCAGGTGGTCTGGACGGTGCCAGCTTGCTCTAGCAATGACGCACATTTTGTTAAGGCTGCTGGTGATGCCTGGTCTGGGTAAGGAGAGGTACCCCACTGCCTGAGTGCCCTGCCATATGGGCACTGTTGGTGCTGATCCAGGGGCTCAGATGAGACTGAAGAGGTGTGATCAGGTATAGCAGAGCAGGGACCCCCCATCCCTGCTTCCCCAAATACAGAAGGAGAGCATGATGGGAAGTGCCAGAGAGAAGAGGAAATTTCCATTTGGCTTTTCAAGCTATTTGCCACGTCCCCGGAGCGCAGCAACTTGGCGGTTCTCCAAGGGGCTGATCCCTAGTCTTCCTTCATGAATTTTTCATTTCAGGCAAAGAGCCCTTACCTCTCACAGGGGCTGCTTTGGGAGCCATCAGCAGGGGCCTGGGCAGATGAAGAGTTGTGTTAAGGCAGGAACGATCTGTCCCTTGAGAGGGGAAGGGCACTCTGTGCTCCTGAAAGGACAGCTCCTCACATAATACAGATTTCCAGGAGTCCAGCTGTCTAGGAGTATGCCCCAGGGGTGGTGGTGGTGGTGGTGGATGGGACTAAAGATCACACACACACACACACACACACACACATACCCTGCCGTCGCCATTCCCAGGACCACTCCGACCCAGAGCAAGAGACGCACCTGCTCCACACCAACTCCATCTGTGTCCCTTCCCATAGGGCAGGAGTCCCCATGCCCACTCTGTTATGTGAATTGTATCCCCCAAAGGAGATGTTGAAATCCCACCCCCAGCATGTCAAAATGTGACCTTATTTGGGAACAGTGTCCTTGTAGCTGTAATCAGTTAACATGAGACACAGACACCTGGGAGGGGAGAACACCAGGTGAAGAGACTGAAGTCGGAGACAGAGACTGAGGTGCTGCAGCTGCAGCCTGAAAGTGCCAGGGATTCCCAGCAAACCACCAGAAGCTCGGAGGAGACGAGGAAGGGAGGGATCTCCCGGATCATCGGTTTTAGAGGGGGCATGGCTCTGCTGATACCTTGCTTTTGGTCTTAGGCCCTTCAGAACTCTGAGACAATACATTTCTGTTGTTTTCAGCCACCCGATGTGTGGCGCTTTGTTACAGCAGTCCTAGGACACTAACACACACTCCTGGGTACCAGGACCCTTGCCCCACTGGTGCCAAGCCCTCTTCCAGACCCTGCATGAGGCTCTTTGCTGGGTCTCTCTTGCCAAGTAGTGGACCTCACTACTGTTGCCGGGCATCTGCAGCCGGGGAGGTCTCTCCCTGCACACTAGGTGAAACCTCAACCCGGATGGAGGAGGGCTCTCGACTCTGGGAAGAAGTTCTCGTCCAGGACAAACAAGTGACAGTGAGAAAGGAATTCATTAAAACAAGAGTAGAAGCGAATGTCAGCAGCTATGCAGACAGAAGAGGGCGAGGAAGAACAGGGGGGACAGGGAAATTGGACCCCTGCTGGGCGGAGGGCAGCCGCCTTGCTAACTCCCAACGCCAGGGTCACCTGGTGTCCAGGGTCTGTGTGATCTGCACGCGTGGGAATTATATCCCTACCACCCAGAATTTGAAGTTTCTGCAGAGCACAGGATGGACTGTTGAGGTTCTGAAACCTTCCACTTCCCATCTGCTCTGAAATTAAAAAAGGAAGACAGAAAAGGATTGTGTTAAGACTGGAAAGCTGAATAAAGTAGTAGAGTGACAAAGACATTTACCACCAGAGGTGGAGGTTGGAGTGTTCGTGTCTTTATCATGGAAAAGAGTTCAAAGACAATGCAATCGGCTTATGCAACAAGAAAGGTTATTCGGTATAAGACAGTACACACTCAGGTGGGAGTGCGGGCAACCTCAGAGAGGAGGTGTGCTTAGGGGTTTAGGGTTTGGGGTTTTATAGGGCCTTTTGGGTAGAAGTCAGCATAAGGCATGAAGGATACAAGTGATTCCTAATTCCTCTGAAAGTTTTGTTTTTAAGAATAGGGTTATTTAGGTGACTGTGTTGATCAGGATCTTGGCATTCTTTACCCGTGTAGGTTCATTTACACTCCAGAGGTCTATCTTTCATCCTGGTTACAAATTTACTTAACTGATTAAGGGGCTGGAAGAAGAGGAAGAACAGGATATAGATGAAGTTAAAGAATAAGCTGGGCCTTTTTTGCAAGCTAAGTAGATTTTGCAATGGCATGACCCTTGCCCCATTTCCCTGCTCTATCTCACTACCAGTGGGCACGCCCTAGTTCCTCAGAATGGCCAAGAGTTGCTATTAGCAGGAGTTGTGGGGAGTGTGGGTGGGGCTGAAGACTGGAGGTATGGGCCGGGCTGTCCACACGCACGCAAGTGGGAGATCAGGGGACGTTTTGGAAGAGAAGGGGTGGGTCAACGGCCAGAGGTGGGAGCCAGGGGCCATTTCTTGCAAGCTATGTACCACATTCTGGCATGGGTCTCTAAGGAGTCTGAAAAATCTTAAATCTGAACCAGTTTTCCAAGTGTTCTGAAGGGGTCTAAATGTCAAGGCAGGAGTTTGAAACATTCTCTATGCTTATTGGCTTGATTTAATAACTTAAAAATATGTAGACATAGAGTTTGTGGGTCTCCTTTTTTTTTTTTTTTTTTGCCCGGGGCCTCCCAGATGTAGCTGGGCCTCAAATATGGAGGAAAGGCCGGAGAGGACAGGGAAGCGGGCTGGGGGCTGCAGGGAACAAGCTAGAACTGGTGAGGTAGAGTTTTAACTCACCGTGACTCCGAGCCTATTTTCTTCTTGTTATTCCAGCTTTTAGGACGCCTTCTGGGAGAGTTCGGGCTGGTGTTACTGCCGTGTAGCTACCCAGCCACAAAAAGTGGTCGGCGTTGTAGAGGGAGCAGTGCCACCCTGAGGCCAGGGGAGGAATGACGGCAGGGATCAGTGGGTGACCCCGAGGGGCCCTCCTCTGAGGAGCCTCCTGCACCCACCACACACGCCCCCTCCCTGATTCCACAGACCCCAGCTACATTAAACAGTTGACTTTTTATTTTCTTACCAAAAATAGAATTTTCCTCATAGAAGCTCCCAAGGAAACTCTCAGCTGTTTGCTAATGGAAAAAATCCTCCGAGCTCCAGAGGAATGCAGCCCTAACTTCCCAGTGGCCCCTGGGTCACCCCCTCTCCTCCTCACCTCCAGACACCCCGACCCCCACACCAAGAGCCAATGTAACTGGAGATGAAGGAAGAGAATTAGCCACGAGCAGCTCAGAAGAGTTGGCGCAGCCTCCCAAGCAGAACTCACCTGCTTGCAGAGGGCGTCAAATAGGTCCTTTCCCCCTTTCACTGTTATTTTAAATTGTACCAATTACAGATTAAACTGGATTACCAGTGTGAAAAATGTTAATGCCTGCTTAGTCTCTTTCTGGCAGTGTCCTCACATCATCCCTGACAGGTAGAGATTGTTATCATCCCCACTTTACAAACAAGGAAACTGAGGTACAGGGAGGTTAATGGTTGCTCAAGGTCACGCAGTAATGAGGAACCTGACTGGCTCCGTCTAACCTTTTGTCATTGCGCTGTCCTGCAAGAGTCTCTGAAGGGATTAAACAATCAAATCTCTACCACAATCCCCGCACTGCTCCCAATCCCCGGGGCATGGTGTGTTTTTTTCTGTTACTTCCTAAAATATCTCCCATCACACTACCCAAGTTGCAAAATCAATATGTATTTATTGTAATTAGTCAAATATCACCATCACCACCTCCTAAGGTGAGCACCATTAACAGTCTGTGAGGTTTTTTTCTATTATTTTCCCTATAGAGGTACAAATAGAACAAATTTGTAAGAAAACATATACGGATTCCCCACCTCCATTTACAAAATTTTAATTGAAGGCACAAGTCACATTCAACCATGAGTTTGTGATCTTCTTTTTCAAGATACCACGATCATGTTTGCAAATAATATTGTAAAATAATTTACAAAGAACTTCATAGTACCCATGTGCCATAAATTATTCAACCACTCCCCTAATAGTGGACCTCCAGGTTGTTCTAGTGATTTTTGCTATTACCAATCATATTGGAATAAACATCTCTGTAAATATATTGTTAGAAACCAGTGCTTCACTTTTGTGGGACCTTTTTCTGAAAATAGGATTGTTAGATTAAAGGGTATTAAAGACACATTAAAAGTTGGAACAAAATGATGGCAAATGAACATAAACACATGTCAAAATTCATCAAGCTATACATTAAAATTTGTGCCTTTTTTGTGTGAATACCTCAGTGCAAAAAAAAAAAAAACAGAACTGGGAACAAACTAAATTTCCAACAATTGGAGATTGATTAGCACACATCCCACAAACATTCCCTACAAATAATGACAAATTTTTATTGGTTTTGAAAAATGTTTTTTAGAAGCAATGTTCTAAAACAACGTGTATAGTATTACCCTATTTTGTAAAAATATGTGCACAGAAAAGAGGACTTTGGGCAACATTAATATTAATATTACTCATTGTAGTTATTTCTTTGGGTTATTTTAATATTAATATTTATAGTTGTTATTAGTAGTGGTTATTTCTGAGTGGCGGGGTGACAGAAGGGGCTTTTGGGTTGCAGAGGGGCAGAGACCAGCTCAGGGGTCTCACCTGGCAGGGGTGAGGTCATTCTAAGGCTCCACGGGGGAGGTGAGGACGCCAGGTGTCTGGAGGTGGGCACATAATTTGGGATAATGTTTGCCCTGCCAGCCCCCTAGCAGCAGCGGGGTGAGCATCTTCTCAGCTTTCAAGGGCAAGGGGGGTACTCCTGCTCCACGGGTGTCGTCACTAAGTGTTACTTGGCTCATTTTGCCGTGGCTTCTGCCTCACCCCTGAGCCTCTGCCTCTCCCGCCGCCCCCAGTGCCTGCCCCATCTCCTCGTGGCCTGAAGAATCCGCTCCTGCGCAGTTCCTCCCTGGCTTCTGCTAATGGGGCTCTTGGTTTCGGCTCCACTCTGCCACCAGTGCTTTCTTCTCTGCAAGGCTTGACCTCCCTTTAAACCCCTCAAGAAAGATGATCTGATGGGTGGCCAGTACAGGGTCACCTGTTGGGCATGGCTTTAGTACCAGGCACTGGGCAGCCTGCAGATGGCCGCCCTTATTAGGGACCCCTGGCCCAGTCAGACTGTGTTGTTCATGAGTAATTTATTACTTCTATAATGACTATATTAGGGTCTAAGGCTGCCAAGACAAAGAACCATAAACTTAACAAAAAGTTCTTGTTTTACAGTTCTGGGGGCTGCAAATTTGAGATCAAGATGTCCTGCTGAGGACCGTCAGGGGGAATCTTATCCATGACGCTCCCGTTTGGGTGGTTTGCTGGCAGTCGGTAGAGTTTCTTGGCTGCCGCCACCTTCACATGGCACTCGCCTGGTGCGCATGTCTGTGTCCAAATCCCCCCCTTTTATAAGGACACCAGTTAGACTGGATTAGGGATTAGGAGATATTTACATCAAGCAGAACTGCTCTGGTCCCTATGAAATTCTAAAATTAGCCTGGCTGTTGATTTAATAGTACTATAGAAGTTATTTCGTCTCTACCTCCTGAAAACTATTCCTTTAATATGTAATCATAAATGTATGATCAGCTGATAGCTTTGTTATTAAATACAATTAAAACCAGCCTTACGATTTCTCAAGTTTAATTTACTCCTAAACCATATGAAACCCCAGACAAGACGACCTTGGCCTATGGCAGGTCCAGCCATCAAGAGAGAAGTCATGCTGCAAAGCTCCCATCCTGATCGAGGGAATAGTTATGAGTGATCTAGTTGAATAACCTCGTGGGGTAAGTCAGCCTCCATCCTCTGGCCTAAGAAACCAGTCTCTGTTTACGGTATTGTTCCCATGGGAAAATGCATTCCAAATTCCAAACAACTGATTTGCACATGAACTTTCACTCTGGAGAGTGGGTTCACCAGAATGTGCTCCCTTGTAGCTCAGTCTTCCAGTAGCTTCCCATGTGTCCTATCCCCTGCCCTCATCTCCCACCTCCTCTATACACACACTCAGCCATCATGTGGCACCTGTCTGTGAAGCCTCAAATGCATCTTCCCCCTCCCTTGAGCCCCTGGTTCTCTGGGCCTGGGCTACCGTGTTGACCCTGCTTTGCCTGGGTTATAGAAAACTGTATGCCAGTGTCCTGAGCTCTTACAGGACTTAAAGACCCTTGAGGGCCAAATTGTGTTTTCTTCTTTGTATCCTTACAGAAAGAGTTCAAGGGACGGAGCATTTATGAAGCACCCACCATGCGCCATCCCTGACACAGTGCTTTCTTGTATTCTTTCTTTTACTTAACTGCCCAGCACCTAGCCAGGATGTGGCGTGTGGTAGATGCTCAGTAGATGACACTGAAACAACCTGAAAATCCTCTGCTGTGACAAGTTTCCTGCGGCCTCTTTTCCCTCCGCCTCCTGGCCACCCGAGCATGCTCGCCCGAGCTGCCTGAGGCATGGGTGGTACTCATGCCGCCCTTTGCTCCCTCGGGGCTGGGAGAACCAGGCAGGAGGCAGGATCAGCCCTCTGGGGAACTGTTATCTGGCTCTGAGGACAAGCCAGCCCCTCTTCTCCACCTCCAACTCCAGCAGGTCGGCCCAGAGTTGGCGGGAATGGCAACAGATTGGACCCCCAGGACCGGAGGGAGAACAGGTGCCCTGGGTAGAAACCTCAGCAACCGGCTCAGGTCCACATGAGGTCTGTTTTCTTAAATCAGTGGCTCTGCTGACCTGGGGGGAACTTAACCCCAGCTCTTCTTGAGGCTGAGTTCCCTAGTCCCTCGTCCCCATCCCATGCTTATGCTCTAGTCCCCAAATCTGAGGCCATGCCCAGCCATCTCATGGGGCGAATGTCCACATGGTTACTGCTGAGATGTCCATACCCCTGCCCGCCAGACCCAGAAGGAACTCTGCAACTTCCATCTAAACCAGCCTCCCACTTAAACACACTCTGCGGCTGTCATCCCCTGGGGTTGGGCACATGGCTTCTGGGTCTGTCAGGAGCCTGGCTACGTCTGCCTCGCTCCAGGGACTCATGACGTTTCCTCCCAGGCTCAGAGTCTGAGGCCAGGGGGTGCCCAACTCCCTTCAGCTTTCTCCGAGACATTTTGTCTCCTAGAAAACCCTGTCCAGCTCAGGGCCTTTGAAGAGACCTATGCAAACAGTCCAGAAAGGGAGCTTATGTTTAGTGGGCAACTTTTGTTTCCTGCCCTTCCTTACAGTGAGTGCAGAGCCCACTACCTGTACATCTGGAGGGATGGAAAAGAGAACAATACAAGGAGGAAGGTATAAACTCACAGATGAATATTCCAAAATATTTATTCCAACCTTGTAGACTGCCCCTGACCGCAGTTGTTCTGCCAACAGCAAACACTCTTTGATTTAGGGTGCTGGGAAGAGCTCAGGCAGGCGGGGCTGAGCAGCTACCTTCTGAGGGACTCCCGTCCTCTCTGTAGCCATGTCACTCACCCTTTCCAGGCCACCCCAATGCCATCTGGAAGAACCCAGGGTCTCATCCTGGTGGCTGACCCAGGTGTAAAAGCAGATCACGGCAAGCCTGGAAATCAGAGTGGGGAAAGCCAAATGGTTATTATGAAAAAGACAAGAAACAGTAATTGTTGGGGAGGATGTGGAGAAAAGGGAACCCTCCTACACTGCTAGTTGGAATGTAAATTGATGCAGCCATGATGGAAGATGGTATGGAGGTTCCTGAATTTATTAAAGCTAGAATTATCAGTGATCCAGCAATTCCACTTGGATTTAACCAAAGGAAATGAAAACACTGATTCAAAAAGATATCTACACCCCCATGTTCACTGCAGCATTAT